CTCCTTGTTATTGTTTGGAACTCTGAATTCAAATGGATATATCTTCCCTTTTCTCCTTTGCCTTTTGCTTCTCTTCTTTTCTCAGATATTTGTAAGGCCTCCTCAGACAACCATTTTGCCTTTTTGTATTTCTTTTTCTTGGGGTTGGTTCTGATCACTGTCTCCTGTACCATGTCATGAACCTCCATCCATAGTTCTTCAGGCACTCTATCAGACCTAACCCTTTGAATCTATTTGTCACTTCCACTGTATAATCATAAGGGATTTGATTTAGGTCATACCTGAATGGTCCAGTGGTTTTCCCTACTTTCTTCAACTTAAGTCTGAATTTGGCAATAAGGAGTTCATGATCTGAGCCACAGTCAGCTCCCGGTCTTGGATAATAGAACCTGGCAGGTGGTAAATATTCAGCACTAGCCCTCTTTAGTTCCATCACCCCTCTTTTACAGATAAGGAAACTGAGGCTTACAGAACATGATTAAAGAGCTTTGAAAAGACTGTCAAGTTTTGTAATGTCTTTCCTTTTAAGATATGTGAGCAGACTGTGAGTCAGCTTCTTCTCCTTTAACACAAGGACAACACTCCCCTCTCCTATGTTGTAAGGATTAAATGAGCATCTCATGAGAATGCTTAGACCTATCCTATGTCAAGATCCTTCTTTCTTCCACACTTGGGAGTCGAAAGGACAGAGGAGCTGGGGTACCTACAGCCAGGGGAGCGGGGCGGGACACTAAAGACAGCCAAGGGGACTGGATTCCAAAAAAAGAATCCCCCAAAACGGAACACACAGCACACACGTCACAGTGCATTATAACAGTCTTTGTTTTGACACAGAAATGGAAGCAATTTCAGTATCCAGCATTAGGGGAATTGTAAATTATGACCCATTTACCCTAGAGACACCATGTGGTCAGTAAAAGTTGCTACTATGAAGGTCATAACAACTCAGGAAAAGCACGTGGTGTTGTCATAGGCTCTGTCCACCCCACTGTGCTCTTCAGGGCTGCAAGATCGGCCTGCGAAGCCCCTGCCTCCCCCTGCAGCCTCTCCCTGCCAGTCCCTGCTGTTGGCTCCAAACTGTACATGATTCCAGAAAACAGTGTTGTTTCACACCATCTTGCCTGTCTGCACTGCTTAGTCTACCTAGAATATCTTTTGTCTCCATTTCTAGCTGGAACACTTCATAACACAAACCACATCAAGCACATGTGTGCCTCGTTCTGTCCTCTGGCCCCATTCTAGGACCTCTGCACATATTAATCGTTTTCATCTGCACCAGCACCTATGAAATTGCTACCATTGTTATCCTCATTCTACACGAGAAAAGCAAGAAACAGTGAGGTAAAGTAACGGGCCCAAAGTCACACAGCTAGTAGGTGGAGGAGGGAAGCCCAGCTGGGCAGGCTCTGGAGACTGCGTTTCTTAAGGGCGGGTACTGGGTCTTTTCACTTCTACACACTCAACCGTAACACAAGACTCAGCCCAGAGAAAGTTTGTTAAGATTTAACTGAGTAAAAATTATGCAGAACAAACAAACAAAATTGATAGAAAACATACCAAAATACTAAAGGCAGCTGAGAGTATTAGGTTTATGGGCAATCCCCCCCACCTTCATTTTCCAAATGGTATAGAAAATGAGTCATATTTTTTAAAGAAAGTAGGAATATAGCCTGAGCCCCTGGAGCCTGCATCTGGGGAGCTGGAGGGAATGTGGGGGTCAGGCCTGGCTTAGAGCAGCTGCATAGCTTCCCAGAAGGCAGGCCGAGCACCAGGAGTGCTCGCTTCTGGTGTGAAGAGAGTGGGGGCGTCAGGAGCACCCAGCACCCAGGGCCCACCTGGGTTAAGGAGGAGTCACCATGGGGGTCACGCTTAATGGAGGGAAGATGCCCCATCCCCAAGGAGAGCCCCTGTCCTCAGGGTCCCAGGGTCGGTGGCAAGGGTGCCCCCCTACACACACTGTCAGCAGCCTGGCCCCACAAAGGACAGACTTGGCCCTCCTCCAGGCTTCCAGGGTAGGCGTGAGGATGAAATGACACAGCAGAGGGAAAGTGGGACGCCAGCCACTCTGGGCACACAAACAGTGGCCACTGTCATCACGAGGTGGAAGAGAGGAAATGAACACCCTGGGCCACATCCTGGACCGATCGTAACAGGCCGGCCTCATTTCTGTCCCCTTCTTCCCGTCCCCACCACCTCTGACCCCAGAGCCCTGGTTCTTTCTGGTACAGCTGCAGGGACGGGCGCTGGGCTGGGGAGCAGCTGCCACTCTAAGTGTGGGGGACCCACGTGCAGCCCCTCATCTCAACCTCCCACCCACATGCCCAACCCCCACCTGAACTGCCCTCCTCACCATCTTCACCTGCCCCAGAGCCTACTTTCAAGACAGGGCTGTCAGACAAGTGAATAAACCCCTTCTAGACCTTCAAGACTCACTCTACCTTCCACCTCCTCTAAGAAACATACCTGGTGCCTCCCTTCCTCCCAGCCCCAGGTACCTTCCTCTGTGCCCTACCCTGCCCAGTACACGCCCAGTGACCACTTCTCCTGGGATAGTAATAGAGAATCTGCGGGCTGGGGGGCCATCCCCTGCTTTATATTGGTTTATCCAAGCACCTAGCATACTGTTCCTGCCTCACAGTGGGCATTTCATGAATGTTTGGTGGATGAATGAGAAGAAATGAATGAACCACCTGGAGGTCGGGGGTGTGGTGGGGGGCCCAGTCCCTCTGTGGCACCCCTCCATCCTCTCTTCTCCCCACGCAGTGGTGACAGACCACACACCCCACTCCTCACCCACTCTGACCACGATAGAAACCTTCAGAAGCTCACCCCGGCACCAGGGGAACCTTGACAGGGCATCTGCTGGGCTTGCATCTGGAAAATTCGGTGTTTGAAGCTGAGCTCATTCATACTCCAAGCAAGGAAATGCGTCAAACTTGCTGCTGGACCAGAGAAGCAGGGCAGCGGTCCGGGAGGTACGTGCCAGGAGCCCAGAGGCGCCCCAGCCAGGAAGCTGACCTCACGGGACTGGCCACATGGGGGCTTCTGGAAGCACATGCGGAACTGCTTGAGTTGGAAATTGGGCTTTGGGAGTCCTGGCTGCTTATGACAGGATGTCCCGTGATTGGAACAACTAGCACAGGACAGCCTCCTGTGCGGCCAATGTCACCCCCATGCCCTGCTCTGGCTGGACGGTACGAGAACACGGGGTCAGATCAGAGCACCCCACTTGCCCTGACCCCCACGGAGTTCCTTCCTGCAGCGCTCACCATCTGCACCTCCCAGAGCACGAGTGCACCACCACACGCCAGCCCACGGCATGTACTCTCTTGGGTCCACCTCGCTTTACGGCTGGCAGGAGCTTTTCACGTCTGTTAGCTGCCTCGGAGGTCACAAACGCCCATGAGACAGGGGTAGTGCCATCAGGATCGCCGTTTGGCCATACCGGGTAACAAGGCCCAGGAAAAGCAAATGCGAGGTGCTGCCTGGCAGCTGGACTCAACGCCTTCTTCCTTGGACTCAGGACCCCCACACAGTGCACAGGTGCTCAATTAGTGCACGAGGAAAGACGGGATGAAGACAGGCATCAGGTCAAATGTCATTTCCACCTCCCACCAGAGCCTCTGGACCTCTGAGGCCGCCTCCAAACAAAATGTCCCTCTAAGGACATCCCAGGCAGTCCAGTGTGAAGAATCCACCTTCCAACATTAGGGATGTGGGTTCAAACCCTGGTCAGGGACTAACTGAAGATCCCACATGCCTCAGAGCAAACTAAACCCAAGCACCATCCTAGAGAGCCCAGGCACGGCAAAGAAAGACCCTGCCTGCTGCAGCTAAGACCTGACACAGTCAAAAAATACATAAATATTTTTTTAAAAAACCCCCTCCAAATGCTCCCCCTGACCCCAGCTCATTCCAAACTCTTCCATAAGCCATCAAGGAACAGCGGAGGGCTAGCTCCCCTCACCTCGCACCCAGCACCCACCCTTTCATCCAGTGCCGAGTATCAGACACCTCACCAAATTTTAAGATAATGAGCATCTTCATTCCTCAAAACACTGATAAGAGAAGGTATGCTTCTCCCCAGGTCACACACAGCAAGCTGAGGCAAGGAGGTGATGTAATTTTCCAGGATCTGAACCCAATTCTTTGGAATCCACAGCCCCAGCTCGTAGTCCTCGAGCTGCCTTCAGGACAAAGCCTGAATGGAACGTGGCTGGACAAGGTTTGATGAGCAGAGCCCTGTGCGCCAAAAGCTGAGGTCCTCACGGAACAGTGCGCTGCCATTCATAAGACCCAGAGCAAAACGGCCTTTCCAGAATGGAAAAGGTATCTTTTTCATCCAATCTGTTTAGCTGGACAGCAAACAGCTAGAAGTGAACTGCCCAGAGCTGCTGCTGGAGCTCCCAGCACCGGAAACCCCCAGGACCTCAGGAGGTCTCTGGGCTGGTGGCGCGGTACAGGGTGACCCCTCTTATGATTCACTCTGCCTGTATTTACTGAGGACCTATTCTGTGGCAGGCATTGTTACAACACCGAGAACACACTAATGAACAAAACAGACACAATCCCTGCCCTCCGAGAACTTCTCTTTAGAGAGGAGAGGGGGACAACAGAGGACGAGACGGTTGGATGGCATCACTGACTCAATGGACATGAGTTTGAGCAAACTCCCAGAGACTGTGATGGACAGGGAAACCTGGTGTGCTGCAGTCCTCTGCAGGGGCTGCAAAGAGTCGAACATAGCAACTGAACAACAACATAATGAAGAAGATAAATAGGCAAAATATAGACATACTGAATTCAGAATACTGATTAGATGTCAAGAAGAAAAATAAATGAGAGAAGGGAGATAGGACGCATCCAGGTGGGGGTTAAAACTTTAGATAGGGTTAACCAATCCTCACCAAGAACTTGACTCTGAATAAAGACTTAAAAGAAATGGGAACAAAAGTCGTATGGATATATAGGTGAAGAGTATTCCAGGCAGAGGGAAGAGAATGTGCAAAGGCCCTGGGGCTGGACCATGCCTGGTGAGTTCCAGGGATAGCAAGGAAGTCAGTAAGATCAAAGAGGTAACAGATGGCCAGGCAGGTAGAGTGAAAGGAGAAGCTGTTACAGGGCTTGGAGCAAAGGAATAACATTAACTCTGGCTGGATGTGGGGTGCAGAGATAATATAGATAATACAGACAAAACTGTAAGGATAATCTTACAGTTTTAGGCAGAGCAACTGAAAGAAGAATACTGCCATTTCCCAAAGATGGGAAAGTGTGTGAGAGGGACAGATTTTGGTGGAGGGTGAGGGACGGGATGAAGGGGATGGATTGTTGTTGTTTAGTCGCTCAGCTGTGTCAGACTCTTTTGCAACCTCATGAACTGTAGCCTGCCAGGCTCCTCTGTCCATGGGATTTCCCAGGCGAAAATACTGGAGTAAGCTGCCATTTCCTTCTCCAGATCTTCCTGACCCAGGGATCAAACCCATGTCTCCTGCACTGGCAGGCAGGCAGATTATTTATCACTGAGCCCCACCAGGAAAGCCCAAAGGGGATGGATGGTGGTGGGGGTTTAGTCACTAAGCCGGGTCCAACTCTTGTGACCCCATGGACTGTAGCCTGCCAGGCTCCTCTGTCAATGGGATTTTCCAGGCAAGAATACTGGAGTGGGTTGCCATTTCCTTCTCCAAGGGATCTTCCCGACCTGGGTGGGGATCGAACCCGGGTCTCCTGTACTGTAGGCAGATTCTTTACCGACTGACCTACCAGGGAGGGGATGGATAGCTGAAGCTAAATACCAAGTACCTGAAAGGCCTAAGTTTGAGACGCTGACGGAGCAACTATGTAAGTGTCAATCATTTAGGGGAAATGTCTGGAATGGCCTAGAGATATAAATTGAGAGTTGGAGTCAGAGTAGAAACAGTACTTAAAGCTATGTCACTGAATGAGATCAGCAAAAAAAAAGAGAATGGACAAAACCAGGGAAGAGAACATTTAAGGCACAGAACAGTTACAACGCTCTCAGAAGTCACACTCACCAAAGTGAAGCTCCTCTCAACAGCACTAATTATTAGAGAGATGCAAATCAAAATGACAAGGAAGTACCACCTCACACCATTCAGAATGGCTATTATCAAAAAAATCTACAAACAATAAATGTATGTAGAAAAGGGAACCCTTCTACATTGTTGACTGGAGTGTAAACTGGTGCAGCCATTAGGAAGAACGGTATGGTATTTCCTTAAAAAACTAAAAACAGAATTACCATATGATCAGCAATCCCACTCCTAGACACATACCTGGAGAAAACTATAATTCAAAAAGATACACGCACCCCAGTGTTCATTGCAGCACTATTTACAACAGCCAGGTCATGGAAGAAACCTAAATGTCCATCAACGAAGGAATGGAAAAAGAAGATGTGGTACATATATATACAACGGAATATTATTACTCCACCACAAAAAAGAACAAAATAAAGCCGTTTGCAGCAACACAGATGGACCTAGAGACTGTATACTCAGTGAAGTAAGTTAGACAGAGAAAGACAAATATCATATGATATCATTTATATGTGGAATTTTCTTTAAAAGAGCAGTACAAATAAACTTATCTACAAGACAGAAGTAGGATCGCAGATGTAGAAAACAAACTTACAGTTACCAGGATTAAGGGGAGGAGAGGGATAAGCTGGAAGATTGACATTGATATATACACACTACTATATATAAAACAGACAATAAGGACCTACTGCATAGCAGAGGGAACTCTATTCAATACTCTTAAACAAGACTGGAGATATATATATATATATATATATATAGATATATATATATGTGTGTGTACTTATAACTGATTCACTCTGCTTTACACTTGAAACATAACTACACGTGCATGCATGCTAAGTCACTTCAGTCGTGTCGGACTCTTTGTAACCCTATGGACTGTAGCCCATCAGGCTCCTTTGGCCATAGGACTCTCCAGGAAGGAATACTGGAGTGGGTTGCCTTGCCCTCCACCAGGGAATCTTCTCGACCCAGGGATCAAACCCGTGTTTCTTCTGTCTCCTGCATTGGCAGGCGGGTTCTTTACCACTAGTGCCATCTGGGAAGCCCATAAATCAACTATACTCCAATAAAAATTAAAATAAAAAAAAAAAGAGTGAAGCTCATAACACAAGGTTCCCCCTTCACCACAGCTCCCAGTTTCTCCCTACACACACCCAGTATATATGTGCAAACACACACACATTTAAATTCCCCTTTCCTCTATCTCTTGGTGATGTCATTCTGCTGAGAAGGAAATTCCCTTTGGAGGTGACTGTCATTTAACAAGAAAGTAGCCCACAGAAGGGAGAAAAAGTGCCCTGGGCACTGAGACAACAGTAGGGACCCTTACAGAGCAGAGCAATCACCCCACAGACTCTGGTGTTTAATATAAAGTACTATATTCAGATTTCAGCTCCAACCACAACAATCAGTGTGAATCAGGCAGCTCAATTGCCTTTCTTATTATGTTAAATGGGAATAACATTGGCTAGAAGGTAGCCTAGAATATAGTAAACAGTTCACTAATATTTGTTAAACAAGGAGGAATGAATGAATACATGGTAAAAGAGCCCGACTCATGGCAGATGGTCAATAAATCTGCCAAATGCTAAATGAAAGACTTGTCTTTCCCTCCTTGACTTTTCATTTCATCCCTTCCCCTTTCCTGCGGATGACACAACAGCAAACCCATGCATTTGTACAGGGCCATGCTGTTTACAAAGCTTTGCTTTCGACATTTTCTCAAATTTTGAACCTCATGGCAGGTTTAGGAGGGCAAGAAATACAATCCCCCTGTCACAGATGAGGCAACTGAGACTCAGGAAACAGCCTACCAACTCCAGGAAATTTTTAAGGCAGGGACAATAACAAAAACACTGCATTCAGCCCCAGGGTGGAGCATCTGTGTTGCCAAACCAAACCTGCCTGACATCCTGTTGGGTGGGTAAGAGGGCAGGTGAGGGAAAGACTCACAAGTTTAGGGGAAGGGAAAGTATTTGTTTTGGGGGTCATGTGAGTAGTGCATTAAAAAAAAAAAAAGGGCACAGATCCCTGTTCCACACCCACTGGCCTGCCTGTTGCAGTCACATGGTCACAAAAGTCACACACTTTCTGTCACCAGCTTCCAAGTCACCGGTGGGCACAGGGGGTGGACACAGGTTTGGGGGACAGGGAGAACTCTGGGGTAACGGGCTAGTGGAGAGGAGGGAGCACGCGGGAAAGCAGGCAGCGATGAAATCTGGAGGCACATGGGAGACAATAAGCAGGGAGAAGCAGGAGGTCAGAAAAGCGGATGCATGACAGAGAACACGGAGAGACAGATACAGCAGAGAGGTGAAGTGGGGAATCGGGTAGGAACACACTGAGGCGGACAAATCGAGAGCACTTAGAAAGGCACAGGAAGGGAACTGCGGACAATGAATGGGAACCAAACTGAAAGCTGGGAGCACTAAGAGACGCAGAGTCGGGGGATGAAGGGAAGGGGCTGACTCAAGCAGGAAGTGAGGGATAGAGGAGAGACGCCCCGGGAAGACGCGCTGAGGAGGGGGTACCCAGGATCGGACCTGAGTCCCTGAGGGGACACAGGTTAAGAGAAGAGACGGAAGCGGTCACCGGATGGGAGTTGGGGACGGTCGGGGATCAAAGGGTGGAAGCTGGAGGCACTAAGGGGGCAATCAGGGTTAATGGAGGACAGGCCTCAGGATCGGTGAACAAGCTGGGGGCCCGAAGGACTGTCCCGATGGAGCCCAAGGAGTCTGGGGCGTAGAGGAGGTTTGGGAATGGGCCCCCCCCCTCCCTGGCCCCGCCTTCCCAGCGCCGTCACTCACCTCGGCTGACTCAGCACTTCGGCTTCCTTCCACTTCCGCAAACAGACGGGTCCAGGCCACGTGACAACCCGGCCGCTGCTCTCCGCCAATCACTGAAGCCTGTGCTTCGCGAGAGTAAGGCGGGGCCTGGGCTCCGCCATATTTATAACTGCCCAATGGAAGGGGCTCCCATCGCCGAGGGAGGCCGGGCTTTGGGCTAGAGCCAATCCTCGGCGGCGGGGCGTGGCCACAGCTGTGAGTGGAGAAAGGTCCGCGTGACGGCTCCGGGGCAGACATGTTAATGTCGGGCCGGAGTCTCAGTGTTCTCGACCTCCTGAAACGATCAGAGGCCTGAAGGCTGAACGTGACTTAAACTACGGCTCGTAAAGATAAAAATTAAACCAGCAAAGATGTGCAGGGCATAACAAGCAGGAAACTGCTTTGATTTTGCCGTGTTCCTACAAGCTAAGGTTGCCAAATTTAGCAAATGGATTAAATTTGGGTTTCAGCTAAACAAAAAATGATTTTTTTTTTTAGTATAAGCAAAAAATCCTAGGTGTACTTATGCTTTAAAAATTGTTCCTTGGTTGTTCCCGGCAGCCCTATCCCAAGACAATCTCAGGAAATATCTCAGCGCTTTTGGTAGAAACTTGCGCAAATGAAAGCTATGATAAACCCGGACAGCATATTAGAAAGCAGAGACATTACTTTGCCAGCAAAGGTCTGTCTAGTCAAAGCTATGGTTTTTCCAGTAGTCATGAATGAATGTGAGAGTTGGACCATAAAGAAAGCTGAGGGCGGAAGAATTGATGCTTTTGAACTGTGGTGTTGGAGAAGACTCTTGAGAGTCCCTTGGACTGCAAGGAGATCAAACCAGTTAATCCTAAAGGAAATCATCCCTGAATATTCATTGGAAGGACTGTTGCTGAAGCTGAAGCTCCAATACTTTGGCCACCTGATGTGAAGAACTGACTCAGTGGAAGAGACCCTGATGTCGGGAAAGATTGAAGTAGGAGAAGAAGGGGATAACAGAGGATGAGATGGTTGGATGGCATCAGCAACTCGAATGGACATGAATTTGAGCAAGCTCTGTGAGTTGGTGATGGACAGGGAAGCCTGGCGTCGGACCCATGGGGTTGCAAAGAGTTGGGCATGACTGAGCGACTGAACTGAACTGGGCAAATGACTTGGTCTCTGCGAACTCCTCAT